CTTCAAATCTAACTCCAATTTTATATGAAGTATTGAATAATGCACTGTATTTATCTGTAACAGCAGGGTTGTGGTTTGTGGGCACTTTGAGATTTTAATTTTTTAAATGCACTTTGGCATTTTATTGTGCAGACTGTGACACCATGAAAGGTCTGTCAAGTTATCAGTCAGCCTCAGACAGCAGGAAAAAAATAAAAGACTCTTCTCTGAGATATTATGCTAATCTGTTTACGCATGCTTTTGAAGATGAAGTGGAGCACTGAGTTTGTTACATACCACTAATATAATATATACCACTAATATTATATATGCATATTTAACCCAAAAAGAGTTTTTTAAACATCTGTTACATGTTACATTCTTGAGTATGTAAGAACATATATAGCTCTAGTGGCACAATCGGTCAGCGTGCAGTACTTATACAGCAGTGCACAGGCAAGGCCTGAGCAAGGGCCTTATCCCCAACTGCTCCAGAGGTCCTGTATAAATAGCTGACCCCGCGCTCTGACCCCAAGTTTCTCTCCCTTTCTGTGTGTCTCATGGAGAGCAAATTGAGAATTGAGAGATTGTATATGGCCAATAAAGTGATCTCATATAATAATTGTCTTGTCCATATTATGTATGTATATACAGCCATCAAGAGTGTGCTAATACTAAACGCACAGTATATCACTGTCCATTTTTTGTTAGCCATTTCTTTCACAGACACACATTACAAATTCTTAAGGCAGGAACGATGAAACTGATTAGTGTCCCAGTGGAGTGGTGCAAGCCCTCAGTTCATTACAGAACTTTTAACAATCTTCCCCTTGCAGCTGATAATTGGATTAGGGATCAAGGGAATCCTTTTTTTCTTTCCCTACTCAGTATAAATTAAATGACCTTTGGACTACAATGTCTAGGGGATGGGGAAAGGAAGAACTCAGAAGGCGAGTGTTTCATGTAGAAGGGTTCTACACCTCTTTAATGTCAGCAGTATATTAAACAAACCTTCACACACTGCTAACACACATTTTGAAGCTTAATTTTGTCTTGGTAATTTCTTTTTGCTGCAGGAGACAGGATTTCTCTCCATAACTTTCCATTTAAAGCGCAGAGCTGTAAGAACTCTGAGAAGGGGTGTGCGGGTTCACAGGTGATGTTCACTGTCTGACTCTATTTTCTGCCTGTGTCCCAGGGAGTGACTCACTCCTTATATCCCTGTAGACTGTGCTGCTGAGGCTGAGCATCAGGCAGGGCTTTGCTGAAAGGTCACCCTGTGGGAGTCCTTGACAGACCTGCTGCTCTCCAGGCTCCATGCTGTCAGAGTTCTGTGTCTCAGCGTGCTGCTTTATCACCCATTACAAAAAATAGTCTTTCGTATGGATGGCAGCAATTAAATTTATGTGTAGGGCGTCTCATTTCTGTCAGCTCACAATGTCTCCATGCAATAAATGGCTTGTCAGCTTGCATGAGGCAGAATGAATGTGTGTGCATGGGGGTGTGACTATGCATTGTATATGTATATCTAGGTTGGTGTTTGTGTCTCTGTGTGCATGCTCTGTTCCAAATTTATTCTCCTTACTTTTAAAATCAAAACTCTTAGAAAGAATAACCCAATGAATTTATTGTATCTTTATCAAATGGCTGCAGGAAATATCTTTATTTTGTCTTTTACAACTTTGATCAGTAAAAACCAGTAAAGACTGCAAATTACTTTACAGTCATTTATATACCGGGTTATATTCAGCTTAAGTGCTACAGTGCACAGTGTACTGATGGTCAGGGTCCGGGTTTTCACTACAATGTTGCTCCTCTGTAAATAAAAATACACTTACAAATGAAGTCATTTACAAATACAGACCTATGGTCCTCATTTCTATAAACAACAATAAAACAGTAAAATACAGTAACAGAACTACACTAGGATTATTGAGCACAATCCTATACACTTTAAAAATTAATCAGTCTTTTTATGTTGTTCAAGAAAACACATTCAAAAAGTTATTTTGCATCACCTGCTTCAGTTCATTAGGAACTGTCTATTCTCTCCACTGTCTCACACTGTTGGTCTTGGTTACAGTCCTCATTCACATCACTCCTGTTTCTCAAGAAACAAACTTCCCTTTTTGTATCGATAAACATTGTAGTATGTACAGTATATAATTAAGTTACAAATATCACATTAAATAATGCGAATGACATTTACTATAGCCTGTCAACAACTGTGGTCATATTCTTTCGCATATTCTTCCTCCCACATGAACTGTGCAGAAGTGACACCTTGTGGTTCAGATTGTTATTCTGAAGCAGTATCAAAACAGAGAATATTTAAAAATTTAGCCTAGCCCAACTCCATCCTCTGTATATTTATAACATGTTTTTTTTTATTTTTTAACAAAATAAAACATATGGGAAAAGCAAAATACCTAAAATGCTAAAGTATCTAAAGAACTGTTTTACTTCAGATGTCTGGCTAAGGTGAGGAGTAGGATATTGCAGTAAGAATTCACAATATTTCCTATTACACTAATCATTGTGATCTTTATTCTTTGATTGGCCCTTTATGCATACTGGATGAATTTTTCTTTGCACCACAAAGATCTTACAGAACTTTGACTGGGAAAAAATAGGTTTCCTTTCCTCATAATGTTATTCAAGAATAATATACAATTTCACAGTTAAAATGTATTTTTCTATCAGACTTAATCTCCCAAGAGCAATGATTGAATCTACTGTAGGTGCAAGTCATTGCTATTTACTGTTGCCAACTGGAACAATCTGCAGAGTGAGTTGAAACTATCCAACTTTATATCTAAGGGTGTTTTCAGTTTCATGGTTAACTCTTTTCTACCTGGCAGTTTCTTCTTTAACACTGATTCAATTCCTTTGCAAAAATGGTGCTGTCCTAAGCTTTTTGTCAGCATGTCATTGCAAATGAAAATTTATGCTCATCTGATTTTACTTTAATGTGATGACTGAACTGTGTGATAGCAGGGTTACCATTCTCTAGCCCGAACCAGTTCAGTCTCAGAAACAAAGTGAGGTCAGTTCTGGTCGGTACTGCAATGGGTGACCACCAAGGAAGACCAAGTTGCTTCTGTCAGTGTAGTTGGTGGTCCAATAGGAGGCACTTTGCCATCTGGACAAGGATATCTATACCAATGTCTCATTGACATCTTTTGGATGAGATTAAAAATGAGATCCTGTGTGCTTGGTCATTAAAGATCCCACTCATCATAAGGGGATTGATGCCCATTAGGTAGATGGGTGCTGCAATTACGTGATGGATGAATTGGGCCCCCTCATACATTTAGTTCTGGGATCCTTTAGGGTGATATGTGGCATATAAAAGTAATTAATTAATGGAATAATTTCCCTTAACAGCAGTAGGGCTACTTAAGCTGTTCTTCTTTTCTTCATGTTATGTTAATGAGGAGAATTTGGGAATAAAACTGAAGAACAGTATATAAACTACATGATCAATGCTTAAATATGTAAGAATAATGTTCATATAGAAACAATCTGAAACACTGTCATCCCACAAGAACCCTCTCTGTCACATTGCATATACAAGATATTAGGTTTCCCATGGAAATGAAAAACTGTGGACAGAGCTGTCACCATTCTCAGACTGAATACTCATTTACAGTCTCTTAACATTGAATGAAGCATTTGTTCTGTTATTTTTTATTATTTATTTGTGGAAAATGTGCTATCTTTCCAGCTCCAGTATAATGCTGTAATCTGAGACAGAATGAGATTCGATTCCTTGCACAGCAGGCCAGTCGATTAGCAAACCAAAACACAGAAAGCGCTTGGAGCACAAAAACTGTTACTATGGTAAAACAAAACTGATGGATATCGCTGGTCTGTTTTGTTCTGGAGGTTTCTTTTAAAAAGAATATACGGAATACACTGAAATTCAGTTTGGTAATGAACTGATCAAATGAACACAGAAGGCAGGGCAGTGTAACTTGTAGAAATGCATGCACATATCACTTATCAGCGGTAATGCTTTCAATTTCCTGTCTAATGGCACAGCCCCATTTATTCATTTAGAGGATCACAATGAGGAGGAAATTGTTACTGTGCCATTCTCTCTGAGATTTTTTTTGTGTTCTTGCCAAAGCAAAATGATCCATATTAAGGTCTAGTTGTATCAATATAATACACAGCTGGGCAATCTCTTTCAGGTTATTTTATGAAAAAAATTAACTTGAGAGTAAAGCAATGCTATAGTTAGGTTAATTGAACTCATAATAGATAGGAGTTCAAACATCACAGAAGGGATTTACTTTTGTGAGAATGTAGAAGTGTCTTAAGGAGCAATAAATAGATTCTTCAAACTTTTATATTATTAGGGTCTTTAAAAACTACCATCAAAACTTTTTGAACATTCAAATTACATTTAAGTTTAATCAAAATCCTAAAAAATGCAACTTATTACTTAAGCATCTTTTGCATTTGTCTATAGCTGTTCAGCCACTACCATCTAAGCACTTCACACACAGAAGATTACTCAATTCCCAGTTTAAAACATCACAAAATGGGGATATTAACAAAAACAATAATTTAAGAACAAAATATTAAAAGTAGACTGTGTTGGTCTGGCCTTACTGACATGATTCATTTAACAACTGTAATTTCAATTGAAAACTCTAATTCCAGGTCCATTTTCTTTTAAGCCAATATATGCTTTAAAAGAATAATACATAATTTAACCTAATGTTAAAGTTGTTGAAAACATTTGGTACAATAAATATATGTACCATGTATATATGCATAATGTGTATTAAAAATTACAGTAGAAACATCGTATTCTCCCATGCGAAGCGTATTTCCTGGCCTTGTGCACCGGCAGCTCGATGAGCTGCTCTCTGCGGTTTATTAGTGCACGGTAGTAATTGCTGGGTCAGGGTATAATTAAAGCCTATCACACTAGCTCAGGAGTCGTCACGGTGGCTCTCTGATGTACTGCACGGGTTGCCGTAGAGATGAACTGCCTAGCTCCTTCAGTGATTGCTAGCAAGATGGCCGCTAAGCACAGAGAGAGGTGCCTGGGCTCTGCAGGGGGATAGAGACATTAGTGGGCTAGCGCCGATTTGGTGACTCTTGCGAAAAGTGCAAAACCCAGAAGTCTTCGCCCAGCCATGGCGGCTGTCATGCACATATAGAAAAATCCCACCCTCGCCCCAATATGGAGCCGGCAGCGTCGGGCGAGCGCAGCAGGTAAGCAAATCGCAGAAACTGGTGTGGTTTGAAAAAAAATGAACTACACAGCCGGGACCCGGCCCTTGCCACATTGTGATCTTACAGTGAAAACCAAAGACATTGTTGGATTTGCGCTTGCGCAGCAGCTTCGAATTGCCTTCCTGTCAAAAAGTGATCAGCTTGCAGCTGCATCCTCAAGTGGTATAGTGTATTGAAGTTGAAAAGTTTTTGAAGAAAAATCTACATATATCTGCACGGGATTCCTGGTTCAGACAGAATATCGAGTAACATCATAAAAATGCTCACCGTCTAGAAAAGGTAATTACTTCATTCTAAGGCAGAATGCACGACAACACCGGAGGGACTTGTGTTGCAACACTTGCTTATTGTCTGCAGGATTTTCGAATGCACATTCCCAGTTGAAAACTTTTAAAATTAGATTGCATTGTAAAATGGGGACACAATGTAGGTGCACTTTCATCTTCTCTTTGAAGATTTGAATGCATTCTGTAGGTGAGTATCATTACCTTACTGAACGGCGATTTTAAAGATTTTCTTTCTGAGATGGTTCCTGTGAAATGTGCATATAACCAGGATTATCGGCTCAAAATGTACAGTATCATTATTGTAGTAACTCTGAGGGACAACTGATGTGAGACTAACGCAATCTGCTTTACTGGATCTCTGTTCAGCTTTGCTCAAATTCCATTTTGCTATAACCGGAATGCGCTCAGTATGGAGATCTTTTCTTAAGACTTATCTGCAATTGGGAACAGTCTTGGCACAGGTAGCATATTCTCTACAAATCCTGTTGCAGATTGTGGTGCTCAGTTGTATGAATGCTCTTGTGAAAAAGCAATACCAGTGCATCAAAATAATGCACGTACATCGGACAAGATGTTCAGGATTGTCTGGGGACAGTCGTTCATCCAGTAATGGTGTGTAATTTAGCATATCGAGTGTTTTTAAAGCAGCCTTTAGCTTTCGACAGTCCATGTCCTTTTGGATGCTTAGAAGCGGATTTAGAAAAAGGGCAAGACGGTCGTTACTTTCTTTCAAATGTAAAAAAAAAATGCATTTGATGTGATTGTAGAGTTTGGGGTCAGTTTTATGTCCCTGCGTGCATTTAAAAAACGTGCGATTGTTTTCTTTGATTTATGAGGATGCATACCGTCTACGTCATTGTGCAGGTTCCCAATGTGCTTTTTTGCCTGCTTCTCTTGTTTGCAATACAGGGAGACTATTGCTTAAGCAATAGTCATATTAATGAGTGTTTTTCCTGTTTTGCAAATTGTGTGCGCCAGTTTCCTACTTCACTGTAAGATTCGTAATTCCAGGAAACAAGTGTCAAAGAAAGATGACTAGGAAAAATGCAGATCCAGTTGCTGGAAGGACTAGATTACAATTCATGCATGAAAGTTTTATTTTCATTTTTGATTCTTGCTGCTTGGTTGTGGGTGTGATAATGGTCACGTTCTGCTTCTGATTCTTTGTTTCCATATTGACTTTGGTTTTGATATTTTGTAAATTAGTCTTTGAGAGAACTTGCTTGTGTATGTTGATGTAGTAGTTTCTTGTATTCATTTGCTCCTGTTTTACAAATACACCTGTACTTTGCAGTCCGTTTTACCTTTACTTTGCGTCAAGATTCCAGATTTTTATTTTTTGGATGTTAAACTTATTAATGTACACCAATATGTTGAGTGTGAATCCCATATTTCCCCATAGTTTCTATACAAGGGTTGATCAGAAATTAACATCACCTTTTTTAATTACAAAAATGTATTTGGTGCCTGAATTGTAGAGGGTATGATCATTTGGAATACTTCAGAATTCTGCACCAAGAAACAGGAAATTCAAGTCTTCGAGTACCAAAAGTTTCTTTTTCCATGACGCTTATTATTATTATTATTATTATTAATATTTTTAAATTGTAGGTCATTACTTTCTGTGCATTTTTCTTATTGTTTAAACTTCAGTAGGAGTGAAAAACAAAACAATAATTGTGCTGTAAAGTAATAGAAACAAATGTATTTTCTGTAAAAGAGTTATAATACTCAGCTGCTTGTCACAGGGGGAGCAAATTGTAAGTGGAAAGAGAGTAAAAACAGGGTTGTGTCAGCTTGCAGTCCTTGGTTGGTGATGCAGTGTGGAGGGATGCTGTCTGATTCATTGCATTGTTTGTATCATTCAAGGTCAGGAGGACCAACACCCTGTCGCACTGGGTCGAGGACTGAGGGTGTTAGAGGGGATGGTGGTGGGTAGAGGGTCCTGTGGAATTGTACTCCACATCTGTGGAAAGAAGCCAGAAAATCCATTTTATGGGTAGAACTCGTGGGCTTTGTCTAGATCACCAGCCAGGCTTTACATATGAAAGGCAGCAGGGGCAGCTTGTTTGTGTTGTTAATTTCTTGGCATTGTTAATCGTAATCTTTTCTAAACATCACGGCATGCCTTTTAGGCGTTACACTAGTGTTTTACCACACCAACAAGGACCTGCAGTTTTGTGTAGTGATATGACGGTAACCCTTTCTAACGGATGAAAGTGTCTATAGGTTTGAGGAATGCCTTTTGCCACACTTATTTGAACCCTTTGCCTGAGGACGTTTCACCTTTTCTTTTAGATAGATAGATAAGACTTTATTGATCCCAAAGGGAAATTGAGGAAATTGAAGTTTTTCGTTTTTGCATTTGTAAAAAGAAATTGTCATTGCCTGCAAGGCGCTAGTTGTACCGAGCTTTGAGCTATTGCACTATTAGTTTCAGACGTCCCTATAGTCCAGAGCGCTCTGGTCTTGCACTCTAGGCATGGGTGCCCTGCAGGGTCCAAGTGCGGTTCTTAACGGCACCTTTCTTTGCAGATTGTCCAGATAGCCATTTATAAACAACCAGCTTCTGAACTGGTCCATTTAAAACATGAATAAACTGGCTTAGATTATTAAGAGCTACAAACCTGCAAACACGCTACAGGACTAGGGTTAGAAACCTCTTCCGTAGACCTAGAGGCCGAGACCAGAACCAAATTACTTCCACTCCACTTAATGACTTCCTTGATTTCATTATGACTCAATTGTTTTTTAATTGTGTTGAGTGTACATGAGTTTGACTTTCCTATTAAATATGCAGGACATTGGCTCTCAAAACCAGGAGTGAGGATATCACTGTTGTAGATCCAGGACTGGGGTTACTCCCTAATGGCTTATGCTGTGTATTGCTGTGGCTGGTGCCATTTCTTCAACTGCGTTTAATGTGAATGTTATTTTTGCATATGACCTTCAGCCCACACTTGATTTTCATAGTACTAAGGTATGAAGGATGGGTGGTGTTTAAAGTGCACTTTGTCTTGTATTGTTACGACCCTATTAAAGACTGAAATTAAGCAGTTGGAAAATGGATGAATAGATGTTATGTTGCAGCAGTTAATACTTTAATGACCCTCATCCTTGACTTAAATTTTGGATTTCTATTTTTAAGTCTATTTTGGTTTTCTTCTTAGTTGTGTAAATGTTAGGTAACCATTAATAGAAATGTTTTTAAGCTTTAAAGCCAGGAAATTAATTAATTATTCCAGAATTAAACATACCAAAGCATGCATTATATATTCTAGTGCACAGCAGCTCTGCAACTTACAATTTTGCCAATCTGGCTACAAAGATTACAATTATAAACATCTGCTGATACAGCAGTTACTGACTGTTTTAAGTTCAAGAGATGTTTCCTGCAAAATTTGATTTCTAGCCTCTTTTTGCTGTAAACCTAAACCCAAGAGCTTCTGCTCTATTCCGCTCCTAATTAGCAGTTAGACAGGTGTTTGCTATGGAATAGTACAGTGTTTGATTCTGAATAGCTAGTCATGGTTTTTTGAGAATCACAGTGATTAATTCAACATATTTGTAAGAACTCCACATTCACCTTTCCATTGCTAGAAAACCATAGCTTTGTCATAGCAATTGTTAGTCCTAAAATTGCTTTATAGCTGAATTTCCGACTTTGATAACCTTCAACACAAACCTTGTTTTTCTCTTTTCCCACTCAGGCTTCTGGTTTAAATTGCTTTCCAGTTCCATGTGTCTGAAACCCCCCAACCCGATGCTGTTCTAAGAAATGATGCACTCGGCATCTCTCACTCTCTGAGTAAGCAGGCATATTTCTGAACCCACAGTCAGAAATAGCAGGCATTTTGTTTATACCAGCCAATTGGTTCAGTATGAAATGCATTGCGTCCAAGTGTTACCTTCCTATCTTTTCTGGGCATCTGTTATTAACCAGTTCCATGTGTAATACATTTGCATTTTGTACCTTATCTTTAAGTCAACAACACTGTTTTAATTTACTTTAATTGAGCAAAGTGCAAAGTCAAAGCTTGCTATATTAATGAAGATTTCCCCTTTGCTTGTTCTGTGTGTCACATCCTGATAAGAGTGAATTTGTTGTCAGTGTTCCAATTAGGAATGCTGCTGTTTTTCTTTTTTCTTGCTCTGTTTTAGTGGAGCATTTTACTTGCACCGCTGTCCGTGTTGCCGCTACAACAGGTTAAGATCAGTTGGCTTTATTGGGGTCATTGTTTTTACTGGCTCAGAGGTGAAGCTGGCCTGGGGTTACTTAGGTTCGAAAGTGGAAGTCCAGAGTTACAAGTAGGACTTACTGAAAGTAACTGCTATTGAAAGAATTGTGTGTGCATTCCAAGAGTACTTTTGGCTTCAAGTCTGTAGCGTCAAGGCTGTGCTGTTTCTTTGCTGGGTGGGGTCATTGTGTGTGTTGTCACTGAATTATTTTCACTGACTCAGGCCCTGGTTTGAGATTGTTGTGCAGTGTGTGTTATTTGGAGGATTTTCTTGGAGAGATTTAATTAGGTAGCTGAAATTTGCTTTGTCACTGGAAGCAAGGTGGTGATTTGATCAGCTTACGCTGGACTAACCATCAGCATCAGAAATGCTAATTATAAAAACGTCTAGTATTACGTAACCTGACCCTTGGCGAGGTCTTAGGTGCTTTTACAAAGAGTGACTTTGCGAAAA